ACTTCTATTCATCTCTTCAGCCCTTTTCTTTAAACAGTCTCTATTGCTTTACTAAACTACTTTCAAACAAGCCCTCTTTTATACAGTTTTTCACTAAAATCACTTTCACTTTACTCTTAGTCAATAAGTTCTGCCCCCTCTAGTATGTGTACTACCTTGGGATCCTCTTGAGAACCCTCTGAACTCTGGCATACTGAGGCTGGCCCTTCCACGCTGCACTTGTTCAATTTGGTTACTAAGTCTAGGTGTAAGCACTGCCCGGGATCCTTGAGATCCTTAGGGAACTTTGATGCACCCAGACAATGTCATTATCTATGGAATTGAGGCATATGAGGTCATTGGAGGCTTTGGGGAATCTGGGCCTAATTGAAGGCTCCCTATAGAATAGCTTCTTGATTTTTATTTACTTATGTAATTCATTCATTGGTTTGTAATAACTTGTAAACAGATATTGGGGAATTTAGTGAAAAGGGTGGGTAGACACATGCTTTATGGGGTACTATGGGTAGAAATCCTGCTCTTAGGATCTTATTTTAAATTTGCCCACTTTGCGCAATAGAAAACATGCTCATAGGGATTTACTCTTTAAGTCTGATTGCTTCGCCTAATAGAAATCATGCCTATAGGATCTCACTTCTAATGTCGTTTGCATCAAGTAGAAATCATGTTCATAAGGTTCTGCATTTTTATCATGTTAGAAACCATGTTTATAGGTTCCAAATAATCAGGTATTAAAATCAGATTAATAATAGATTCCATGCCTATAGGACTTAATTCAGATTATGGTACAATGAGTATTTATGTATGTTTCCCCGCCGGCAAACCATTAAAATTAGTATTACACTTAGATATCATGCCTATAGGGAACCACATTCGAAATTCTGCTTTTCAACCTAGTTTAGTCTAAATAAGTCAACTTGATCACGCCTAGTTCATTTCTGAATTGGTTTTATTAAGTATTAAGTATTTTCTAAAGCAAGTTCTTTCAAAATTGCATTAATCTCATTAGATACCATGCTTACAGGTATTAAAAGAGTCTATTTCGAAAACATGTTTGTTTTCTGCATTAATATAGACACAGCATCTGCATATAGGCAAGCCTTAGGGCATCTTCAAAACTGCATTCCCCTGAAGCTCTCTCTGTCGTTAACGTTCTGATTTTGATAACTTTTAAAAGAGTCCATAGGCAACTTCTAGGTTATAACTTCTGGGTATAAAATGCGGTCTATTGTTGCATAGTCACTTAGAGATCCTGCTTTAGAACTTTGATTAATAAAGGCCTTAATTGTGTTCGAGTCGTGCTGCTTGTATGTTTACTTGAGGAGGAAAATTGAGCCTTTTATCTACTCCTTCCTGTTCTTGTTTGCGCAAAGTCCTAATTGTTTTGCTTGTCGCCTTAGAGTTTTCACCTTTAAAACCTTAGGGGTACGTCTAGAACCACCTATAGGTAAAGGTCCTAACTCCCTCCAAGACCATTAGGAAGGGACGGGTAGCAGCTAAGAATCCGTGACCAACACTCACTTTGCATGACCAATAAGGGGATGGGAAGGGTAGACATGGATATGATGACCGGTGCGCTAATACCAAGCGTAGCCCCTTTCTAAGGAGTGATTACCGGGCATTGTACTGATGTGATCCTATAGGCTAACCAACCTAGGACACCCCTTTACATTCACAAATATGCTTAGATTGTACTTCTTTTTTTTTCAAAATCTAGCTTCTCATTAACTGTTTTTCAAACATCTGTGTATAAACTTAATCCCCTACTATTTGAGCCATACTTGTTTATTTGCTAATGTACAAATCCACAAAAATTGTTTGGCCGGGAACCACACTAGTGGATCCTGAGGGGTGCCTAATACCTTCCCCTTAGGATAATTTCAAGCCCTTACCCTGTCTCTGGTTACCAAACGTAGTTATAAATGAACCCTATAGGTGCCCTAACGCACCTTAAATCGTTAGGTGGCGACTCTTCAAAAAATGCAAACCCCTTTCCCAAAAGGAACGAGTTGTCTCAACCAAAATGTCATGAACCCGATTTTGCGAGAAAAAGGGGGGCGCGACAGTAGTCAACCCCGTTGAGCCTATAAGCCTGCTTCTTTGGCAACCACATTGCGAACCTTACCCAATAGTTTGAATGGCCCATCTGTTTGAACCCCTTTACCTCCCATGAGAACTTGAATGGTCTTAAAATGTGCAAAAGCTAAAGTGTGGGGTGGTGGTTTGGTTTTTGAGTGAAACCGATGAAATAGAGGAAAGGTGCAGTTTTTGGAAAAGTAAAAGAATAAGCACCACTTAAAAAAAATGAGTAAATGTAGTAGTTGATAAGTGGTGACTTGATACAGTTGCACCTAAGGGAGTGGGATGTTATAAATAAAAATGCGGTGGAATGTCTGGTTGACATAAGTATAGTTTTGAAGGTTAATGTGATTGTATTAAAAGTGCTTAGGGAGGTTAGTCACTATATCCAAATATATCCTACCCGTCCCTTAGCCTACATTACAATCAAATGAAGTCCTACTTGATCTTAGACTGAATTAGCTCGATTAGTAGAGTAGTACACTACGGGCAAGCCTATGGTGCATCTTTGTGGCATGTGAATGTTCGTTTTTAGAGTGAGCAAATTTTGTCTATCTGAGTTCCTAATTGTTCTTAATATTATTATTTGTGGAACTACTCTTGTGTGTGATGTGAGGGCATGTGATTCACGAAGTAAAGGTAAGTCTTGACTTCTGTATAGAGTAATTTAAGTAAGTACGAATATTGCACGGCACGTGAGAGTCGACTTTTGAGGCAAAGATTGTTCACTACTAGGCATAACTTTGGTGAGTTGTTCTTGGTGTGATACGTTAGGGGAAAAGCTTAGTGAAGGAACCTTTATAGAGTGTGGTGGATTGCTCGAGGACTAGCAGTGATTTAAGTGTGGGGTATTGATAATAGGCTAGATTCATATAATTTGGCGACTGTTTATGCCCCAGCTTGACTATGTTTCACTGTTATAGGATAGTTAAATGGTGATAAATTGGCTCTAATTTTGAATTTCATATTTTGCTGGAGCGAGTTGCGTGTATAAGGACTTAGAACTGTATTTGGAGCAAAAATTGAAGCAAGGTTAGCCCCTCGGAGCTGAGCACATTGAAAGAAGAGAGAAAGAAAGGCTGAAATGATGACCCAGACTAGCGCGACCGCGCTAGCCCAGGAGTTCGAGGCAGAATGTTATGCCATATGCGCGGTCAGTAGCGCCCCCACTAGCGCGACTGCGCTAGTCCAGTTCAGAAAAATACAAGTCAGGGGTAAACTTAGAAGTTCGGGGGTAATTCCACTTAACCTATAAGAGTTCCAGCTCGCCCAAAGGGACATTATCAAGGTTTTTACAGCTTAGTTGAAGGCAAGGAGAGGCAAGAGGCAAGGAGGATAATTCAACATCGAGTTCTTCCTTTCTTCCTTCTGTATTTTACCATTTGTGATGAATTTGGCTATTGTTATGATGAAAACTAGTATGAGTAGCTAAATATTTAGTCTAGGGTTTTGATGGAACTTGTTGGAGGATGAACTTCGTGTTATGTTAATATAGTTTGCTCGGTTTAATCTCTATTTGTTCAACTACGTTCTTGTTGTAGTTAATTGATAGGATCCTCAATTAGCTGTGCCTATTTAGTATGTATTACTCGGGAGAGAGTGCATATTTAGGTCATTGTTGAACAATACCACTCCCAAAGTATATGAGGGATCAATAACCGAGGGTTTAAAGGCGGGATTAGGGATAACGAAACCTTGGGTGCGATCTAAAGTGAGCTGTATTTAAAGCCAACTAGCGTAACTCGGGAGAGTACGTCTAGTAAATTGTCGTGATTACTCGGGATAGATTTACGGTAATAAGAGTGCTCATGATCGATAGAGACGATTAGGCAAATTTATGTGAAACCTTAGATCCTTCTCTTAATTGTTTACAACTTAATCATAGTAGTCTTTATTTACTTAATTGCAGTCAGTTATAGTTAGTAAAAATATCCTCAATCGTTATTCAAAACGTTTGGGAAGTTGATTACATAGTATTGAGTGAGTCTAACAAGAGTAATTGATAGGTTAATTCATTGTGAGTTCGACTCTGGGCTAAATACTCAGATTATATTTGCAACGTCCGCTTAGTCCTTTTTATAAGGCATAGTTGGGGCGTGATCAATAATGTATGTCTTATATTTTTTAAAAAATCGATAAATAACCGAAAAAATAAAAAACAAACAAAACTGACAAAAATTGAATTGATAAAAAATCAACTTAATTGGTTTGATTTTGTTTCAATATTTGAAGAATCGACTTACTTGATTTGGTTTCTTTTAGGGAAAAACTTATCCGAGCTAAGGATGTTTCCCGAAATTGGTTAAACATATACAGGGTTGTACATAATTTAGTAATTATAGAATTACCGTACCGAAACCGAAAATTTTGATATTTGGTATTCGATGTTTTGGTATTTGGTATGGTATTTGGTTTAATATTTTTTTAAAAGTTGGTACTAGGTATGGTATTTTAAAATGAAATACCGATACCGTACCGAAATACCAATTATATTGCACAATACAAATATTATTAATTATAACATAAATATAAAAAAATATAAAATTTTACCTTCATTTATTCTCTAAGCTCATCAATTAACTCTAAGCAAGTAACAAAATATTTTTAGTGATCAAATTTATTTTTTTATGTACATTTTTTTCTCTCTCTAGGTTGATATTTGCTGGTTTTAGACAACACTTTTGCCAACAAACGTTTTTTGTTTTGTACTTTTGAGTACTTTAATTAAGAATATTACAGTTTATGACTCTACGCATTAGTTAGTATTCAAACTGAATAATCGAAGTCACCAAACCAAATAAACTAAAATAAAAAAAAATCGAATCATATCGAATTTAATTGGATACTTAACAAACAGATCGAATACAAAAAAAAAAAAGTATACTGAACCTAAATGCCTAAATAGGCGTCAGGCGAGTATCTGTTGTATGATTCTACCATTTCCCCCTTTTGTAATATGTTGGAGAGTGACAGAGAGAGAAAGTGACCGCGCCAATTCAGCATCATCGTCATCATTTCCTATTTTCATTCTTCCCCTTTTTTAATTTTTTCTTCTTCTGATTCATTATTGCTGGACAGTTGGCAACCACAACGAATTCAGCATTAACGCACTGCAGCTCTGAATTTGATCTTCTTCGGCAATCGACTCTGGAACTGGGTAATAGCCTTCGCGCAGAATCTCGCTAATTTGATGACTGCGTTTCACTCTTAGCCTAACTTTTATTTAACGTGTTGGTTTTCTGTGTAATTGTTAACCTCTTTTTGTTGGATCGTGCATTTTTTCCCTGTGTTCCTTGTTTTGCTGATGAATTTTTTTTAATTCGGAAGTGCTGGTTTATATCTCGAAGTTGCTATATATAGTAGACTGATGAAGAAAACATAGTTCTTACGATTAGATTAATTAATCTGCCTAGTGGGTTCTGAACCTGTTATAACATAGGAATATTCTGTTTCCACGTTAAATATTCCTTATCATAGAGTAGACTCTAAATATTTATAGTTAGTAGGTAGATGTTTTATGTGGAACTAAGCTATGTTATTGAGAGATTATGCATCATTTGGAATGAATAATTGCACTTGATATTTTATTGGCAATAAAGAACTCAGCTGGATGTCATTGGCAAATGGTAGAAGCATTTTCAAATGTTTCAAATGACTATATAATGGGGAGGAGAGGAGGTATGAACTATGAAGGAAAAGAAAGGAAAATGGGGTTTGAAAGATGCTTAATGATTATCTTTTAATGTTAAAACTGACTAAACGGTGCATAGTCAAACAAGGAGTAGGAGTAATCTTACTTTTGTAATTATGTTGGTACTGTATAATGTTATTTTTATGTGTACTAATAAAACATTCTCCTATGGCCTATCATTCCCCGCTCATTGTGTTGCTCTTCCCTCATACCATAAACATAAAACATGTATGTGAAAAACGATTCATGGTGTTGGTCTTTTCTTGAAGGAAATGGCTACAGAGTCTGAAAAAGATCTTGGTGATACTACTGGCACTGCACCTGTCACATCTACAGATAATGAAGCAAAGACAAAAAAGAAAAAGAAGAAGGGATTATTGTCAAGAATATGGAATGGTCTATTTGGTTCACACAAAGATGACTTTGAGAAGAGATTGCAACATATTTCCAAGGAAGAGGCTACTGTTATTGCCAGAATAACAAAACGATCTCATCGTTGGAGAAGGATGACTAGGCATCTCATTATACTTTCTGTACTTTTCGAGGTAATGCTACCATTTTGTATTCTGCTGTTCTAATGTGTCCTGAATAACAGGGAAAAAAACCTGAAACTCTTTATCCTGAAAAATCTCTACCTTTCCAAAGCCTTTGAATTCTTTCTTTTTGTTTGTGCATCTTGCCGTTAATGATCACTTGACATTTGACATTTGACATATTCAGTTTGTTTCTTTTACTGGGAAAAGTTGTCTCCTTTATATTCAGGTTTTGTCGCCACAACATGTTATGAGAAGTTTCTAACTTCTCTATATCAAAATTTAAATAGTATAGTCAGTAGATTTACTCAAAGATAAATTTCTCTTAACCCTTGGAAGAAAAATGTTAGCTGTTTTGGGGCAGAGAAGTGATAGAATAATTCTTGCTAAAAGATATAAACTGTGCTATGATGTAAATGGCTCTTCTAGATTTAGTAGAGGGAATGGGATTCTATGACTGATTTGTGGCTTTTCTTATGGCCGAAATAGTGGAGAAAAATGGTCTTATGTGGGTTAAGAATAACTGAAAGGTTCGTTGCCAATTTGACATTGTTCTGGTTTGTGAAAATTGAAAAGTGACTTAGAACATAACTGTGTTATTCTAAGGATGGATGCTGATTTATGATGATAAGTGCTGGGTAAAGTGAATAGACTCTTAAATGGCAGAATTTGGTGGAATGAAATATGTTTAATTGCACAAAGCAAGTAGAAGAGAATGAGGGAAGAAGAATAATTTCCCTCCTAATATTTCCACGAATGAACCCCTAGGATGAGGGTGGGAGAGCATCCAAAGCAACTGCATTCTTCTGTTAAAGAAGCCATAGAAATCATCTGATATTTCTCAACCACTGTTTTAGAACTTACGGAGGTGGATCTGAGCAGCTCACTTTCCTATATTTCAACAATGATGGCTAAATATTAAAGAAAACTACTCATGTGTCTCGGTTGGTGCAACCTCTTTACCTATCAAAAAGAATATTAAGAAAACTAAGCATGACATCACACAGTCCAAATCGAAACCCCAATAAAATTGGATACATATTTCATGAAATCATCAAACCTTTGTAAACAAATAAGAAACAAAGAAAGAAAAAGTGCACCAATTCTTTTATCTGATAAATGGCTATGGTGGCAAAGGTACACGTGTCAACACTAGAGTGCCACCACTACTACCACCGCAGCAGCGGCCACCCACCGCCATCCAGGAATGTTCTCCGGCGAGTTGTGACTACGTGGGACCATGATTGTAAAGGGTCGTCGTAGAATTGTTGTACAACCATGCAGGAGTTTCAAGTCTGAGGATGAATGTGTGAAGGGAAGTGAAACCAAGAAACCTGTGAACAAATTGGTTGGAACTATTAGGTCTGTTGTTGGAGTTGTTCGAAGCCGAGTTTGAGAACCGAAAATAAGTTTAAAGAAGCTACTGAGAAGTTGGAGGAGAGATTATTCTTGTTGGCATTATATGTTGGAAGATATATCATTACAATGATGAGCGCAGGTGTTGTCATGTTCGTTGCATTTCAGCTGTCAGGTGGAGATAGCCGGATGAATGAGTTGATATGGTATAGCTGGCTTTAACCAAATTTAAAAAGTCAACCCCGGGCCACGTCCCGGAACCCAACAAAATTTGCAAAATGCAACACCCTTTCAATTACGAGTCCCCAAAATCATCCAATTCCGACCACAAATAGACCCTCAAACCCCCATATCTTACTTTCCAATCCCTAGTCCAAAATTCCCAAATTTTACCTTAAAAACACATAATCTAGGTGTAGAAATCAGTGGGTATTCAATATTATTGGACAAAAATGATAAAAAATAACTTACCTCTTGATTTGTAGTGAAATCCTCTCAAAAATCGCCTCTAGTCGAGCTCCCCCAAAATGTGAAATAATACTCTAACCCTCATTTTTGAAATTAAATAATTACCCAGTTGTTCCTCTTCGCGATCGCGGAAAATGCCTTGCGATTGCGAAGAACAAAAGATGTTGCCCTTAAAAATACACTTCAATGCGAAGACTCCATCGCGAACGCGGTGTCTGATTCCCCAAACGTACGCGATCGCGGACACGCACATGCGACCGCGTAGCACAACGCGTCTGACATCCCAGGTCTCTTCCTTCATCGTGAACGCAGCACCTCTCACGCGTTCGCATAGCACTAACTCCCCAAGGTTCGCGATCGCAAACCAAATCACGCAAACGACTAGAGCAACCTCACCCGTCACCCAAACAACCCTTCGCGATCGCGGACCTTCCCTCGCGATCTCGTATAAGGAAAGCAGAACCAGACATAACAGCAGTCCTACAAGTCCAACAATGAGCCGAACATGATCCGAATCACACCCGAGGCCCCCAGGACCCCATCCAAACATACCAACATATCCTAAAATATCATTCGAACTTGGTCGAAGCCTCAAATCACATCAAACAACATCAAAAACATGAATCACACACCAATTCAAACCTAATGAACTATTGAACTTCAAACTTCTAAAACCAATGCCGAAACACACCAAACCAACTCCGATTGACTTCAAAATTGGCACACAAGTCATAAATGATACAACGGACCTACTCCAACTTCCAGAACCAAAATCCGAGCCCGGTAACAATAAAGTCAACTCTCGGTCAAACTTCTTAACTTTCGCCAATTCAAGCCAAAACGACCTACAGACCTCCAAATCAATATACGGACATACTCCTAAGTCCAAAATCACCATACGAAGCTATATGAGCTATCAAAACTCCATTCCAGAGTCGTTTATCCATAAGTCAACATCCGGTCGACTCTTTCAACTTAAGCTTTCAACCTTGGGATCAAGTGTCCCAATTCATTCCGAAATATTCTCGGAGCCAAACCAACGACCCCGGCAAGTCACTTAACCACAAATGAACATAGAATAAGCAATAAACGGGGGAACAGGGCTACAATACTCAAAACGGCCGGCCGGGTCGTTACAACAGGTTGCGGAGGATCTAGCACCCCTCTAACGGCTGTCTATGGATCAACAAAATGTGGTCTCGGGCAGCTTCAATCATTCCTTCTGAAGGAGTGCAAGCGGTCAAAAGTTGGAGTGCATACGACCTCTCCGGGCATGTCCTAACTGACTTTTTGCTGAGTGGCTCAACTATCCAAAATAGACAATTGTTTAACATCATTTGTGAACATCCAGAGACAGTTGCTAGAACACTAGTACCAAGGATGCGGGTTGTAAAAGGAAGTGGAAGAGCCATCAATTATGTGACTCCACCAAGGATGTTAATTGCTTTAATAACCACATGGTTGAGATGGGGCCGATGGTTTGATGATCAGGGAAGAGCACTGTATGCTGCAGAGGCAGATCGACTTTGTAACTGGCTGAAAACTGAACACGCTTTTCGTTCATAGATGCCATGGAGATGGAGATGTACATAGAGAATACTTGGATCTCTGTGTTCTTGCTCTCGGTGGTGTGTGCATTCATGATACTATCAAGCACAGGTAGCAAGCTACCTAGACTGGACTTAGATGCCAACCTCTATTGCCTCAAATAGTTTGGAAGATAGGAAGCCCATTAACTATGACGCATCTAACTCATGTCACTCCAGCTTCCAATTTGATCATATAAGGAAAGCACATATCCTATTCGGGTGGGTGCATGGCTTTTACCGCTGCATCCATTGAATGCTTCAAAAAATCTACGCTATGGCATGATTGTGTTAGTATATGATATTGGATGTACAGGAATTGACTTTGGTTAAGCGTAAAAATGAAGGTATTAGATACACATATTATCAAAAATCAATGTAAAAGTTATTGCTATTGTGATGTTCTAAACCATGGATCGCTTGAAGCAAGTTTCTCGCAAAAAAAAAGAAATAATAACAAACAAACAAAAAACTACTCATGAGTCATAACTTGAAGTCTAATACTGCATGAATCAAGATGAAGTATGGAAACATGAATGTTCAAATTAGAAGCCCATTGCCCAGAAATTTTAGGAACTCACTAGAAGATGCTAAAGTATCTTAAATGGTATTTTAACTCTCAATGAAGTGGGTTCAGAACCATGAGGTCTCAGATTTAAATTCCAGCAGAGGAAAAATCACTAGGTAATTTCTTCCCATTTGTCCAAGCTTGGTGGATAGAGTTACATGGTATTGTTGCTGGTAGGAGGTAGCAGGTATCCCATGGGATTAGTCGAGGTGCGCGCAAGCTGGCTTGGACACCATTGTTATTAAAAAAATGACAAAAGTTAAAATAACAACTAAAGTTGAAATAGAAAGATTGTTCAAGGAATGATGAAAAGTAGAGAAAGGGTTCTCTTTCTTCCACCTCAGGTAGCATAAAGACTAACTGGGGCATCATGATACCTTATCAGGGAGCACCTTGGCCACACACCTTTTCATTTTTCTCTGCCTGTTTTGGGGGTTTTGCAGTGGAGAAATCACGCCTTGATGGTTTTTTTTGGTAATGCGACTTATAGTTCAGTTTATGTAGTTTTGGAATGGCAATGATTCCGCAAAAGACTTGAGCCTTGTGATTGGTGTTCCAATGTTGAAGGTCGGGTGAAGGAGCTGTTTCAGGGGAAGGAGGAACAGGATACGTGAGAGACTAGTTAAAGCCAGGAAAACCTTTTCTTTGTGATGGGAATTGAACCATTCAAATTTATAATTCAGATTTAATGACTGATTTTCTGGTATAAAATTTCTAATTCCTTATTCCTAGTTTCTAACATACTGATTCATAATGTTATGTTAACAATTAATATTATTCGTCAAGTATATTTAGTGATGCTCTCCTAAAACAGAGCTTATGAGCTACGAGTTGCACGCAGTAGCAGTTTAGTACATGCACGTAAGCGGCACCTTAATGGGGTGAAGTACCCAGCTTGTGCTGTTAACCGTGCCCGGGTCTATATTGAAATTGCACATACACATGAAGACACATATTTTTCATGTTGCGATCAATGTGTTGATGTTATATGCATGTCAGTCTGCTCGAGTTTTTTTATCCCTTCACCACATACTATATTACATATTTACTTATGTGTGTAGTATTGAGGTTATCTCAATTCAGGTTATGGCAGTGGCTTATGCTATCATGATGACAAGATCAGTCGAGCTAAACTGGAGAATGAGGGCATTGCGAGTATTACCAATGTTTTTGTTGCCTGGCTTATCCTTCATTATATATTCAGCTCTCAGAAGCTTCACAAGGATGAGTAAGTAGTTCATGTTCTCTCAAAGTTCTCAAACAATTCATTTTTCCCAATTCTATCGTAGTTCCTTCCATTTTCTCTTTTTCTTTTTTCTTTTCCAGTGTGGCTAACCTTCATAACATTAGAAGATATAATTTGTCCTTTTCTCATTTCGTTCTTTTCCTTCTAATGCTGGCAGTGGAAGTAGGGTTGGATTTCAGTGGGCAAAATTAGTAGATAACTAAGAGATAATGCAAGTGTTTTTTTCTCAAGTTCTATTGTTAAAATTTGGAACCTACGGTTCACAACTCAATTCTCAGTCTCTGTTATCCTTTTCTCGAGCATATTTCTTTGGCAATTTTGAGTGCTTTAACCTAGGGAAGAGCATCCCTTGTTATTTATACAGTATGAGTTGACGTAACAAATGATAGAGCTAGGTAAATTGACTGCTGAGTGCTTACATGCCAATGGATTCACTAAGTAGAGTTTCAAAGAAGGCTGGTGAGATTATAAATAATATTAAGGTGTTAAAGTCAACTGCCTAGGCAGAAACATTTGCATTCGGTATTAGGTGGGTCGAACTTCTAGCTTCGTAGCTTTCATAATTTTAGATAGCCATGACTTTTTGTTTTTTGCCTCTCTTTTGAATAGATAATGTTGCTCATTTTGTTTAATAGATTGAGATTACCTCTAGTAATATTTTTTTCCATTTACTAGCCTCTCTCTCTCTCTCTCTCTCTCTCTCTCTCTCTCTCTCTCTCTCTCTCTCTCTCCTGGTACTTGTATCAGAAAGATTGATGAAATATGTCTATCAAACAGTCTCTTGTTTAGTTTATCAAGAAATTACCTTGGTTGTTTAATGGACTATTTGTAGTAGAGTAATAAATAAATAAACAATCAATAATAAATATTCAAAAAACAATATTTTTACCATGTTAAATGCAATGAAATTTCTATTCTGGCATTTCCTATAATTTCTTCTAAGATCATGTTGTATCTTAAAGATAAAATAAACGGGATTCTAGTGATTTTACATTTGAAAAGTTCTGAAGGTCAAGAGAATCAAGGAAGTTATATGTTAAAGTATTTCTAGATTCACAATATTTGTGTGCTGAAACAATTTTGAATCTGGTCAATTTTTGTTATAAGTAACATTTGGATCTTGGTTCAAAGGGAATTTGCTGGTAGAGAGGATCCTTAATAAATATGTGGATCTTCATGTTCACCTTCTCCTTTGGAGCATGGACAGCATGCTCTCATGTTATTCTAGTTGGTATAATATTTGGTAAGCTGACTTTGTGACTCTGTGTAGCTCAGACCATTTTTTGCCGTCTATCCCGTGTGTCATCTTTATTGTATGTTGGAACCCTCTGAAATTTTTAACTTTACCTATCCAAAACAGAGGGCCTATGGAAAATGTGTTTGATTGGATATTATATGATAGAATGGACTACTATGGCTAAGTATGGTGGGAAGACTGGAAAGGCTTGATCCTCATAAAAAAGACTGAAAAAGCTTCATGCTATTTGTTGGCAATGGTGGTTCAGAGGGTATGAGAAGATAGAAAAGAGACCATGGACTTTCAAGTAAAAGTTAGTGGCGATAGAAGATGGAAATCTCGTTTCCATTTTCTTCTCAGGAAAACTAGAAGCGAAAAGGTAGAACATCAGGACAAAACCCTGCTTATAACAATAAAGCACCAACAACATATAACAACTCCTGAACATTCAGCTTTTCTCCTTTCTGTGTTTCTCTTGAGGATGTGTGCATCGAATTGTTAAGAGTAACTTCGGTTTGGCAATCAGATGAATATGTAAAGACTCCAGGGAATGTGAAAGTCAAAGGAGTCTTCAACCAAGTCCTTTTGATCACCTCAAATGATATTCATTGTAAACATGTTTAAGAAGTTGCTGAAGATTCATACTATTGATGTTTTTGCCTTAGAATGAATTATATTTCTTTGATTTTCAATTTTAAACCCTTTACGTGTGGCCTTGCAGATGAACGCAAGGATCAGAAAACTTTGGAAAGGCTTCAAGCTGAAAGGCAAGTCAAGATTGATGAACTCAAAGAGAAAACAAATTACTACTTAATGCTGCAGCTCATTCAGGTAATAACAATATGCGAGTTTTTGGGCTTCTACGGAGCTCTTTGCAGGTAAGTTAACCTTGCAATTGCATTAGGCAGCACATTCAGGTGATAGCAATATGCGAGTTTTATAGCTTGTGCTAAGCTATTTACAGATAAGTTAACCATGCAGGTGCATTAGGGAAGACATGTTTATATCCTTTTTTCACTCCTTTGTCTTCACCTCTTTTACAAAGCGCCTTTATGTCCCAAGTCGGTATGAGATGCTTGGGATTTCATTGTTCAGATCTTTTATGCAGAGGTATGACCCTGACCCAGCATCTAAGGCAGCTGCAGCCACTGTGCTTGCATCCAAGCTCGGTGCAGATACTGGCTTGAAAGTGTATTTGGGAGATGAGTCTAAGCCTAATGCCCCTGCTGGAAAGAGCAATGATGTAGAAATCATGCAGTCTGCTGGACTGAGAAATAGGAAGCAAGCCAGATCTGGTAGCGCAGAGAGTGCTGTATTGGATCATTCTGAAGGAGAAATGATTCATGATATACAGCTTGAAGGTTCTAGTATGAATCAACGTCAGCAAATGGTTGTTGACCATTACAATCCAACAGGTTCGAGCACACTAGACGGGGGATGGCTTGCACGAATTGCGACATTGCTTGTAGGAGAGGATCCAACCCAATCTTATGCTCTTATCTGCGGAAATTGCCATATGCACAATGGTAAGATCCGAGGATATGACCATTGGCCCATATATAGCAGTGTGGGTTTCACATAACAAATAGTGAATGACTAATACGTAGTCACTATAAGAAAACGGAAAAAGGTATATAATAAAACTTCTTCTGTTGTTTGCAGGACTTGCTAGGAAAGAAGACTTCTCCTACGTAACGTACTATTGCCCTCACTGCAATGCCCTTAATAGGCCTAAGCAACTTGATGATCATGCCTCTGGTTCCAGTACACCTAATATAGCATGCACAACCGTTGTGGCTGATGCTGATTTGGTCAAACAGGACGGTGGATCCACGGAGGAGAGAATCTCCGCAAGTAGCATCCCTGTAGTAGCTGCCTCGGCAACAACAGAAGGTGACAAAATAGTCTCCTGTACTTCTAGCAGTTAATACGTAACAGCTTGAAAGGATTTGTGCAGGCAAAGTGTTCGAAAGTGCAGACGATTTTCTACTTTCTTTGGATATATATATATATATATATATCTTGTAAACATCTAGTAGAAAAACAAAACTCAGTGATAGCTGCTTCCCCAGCTGCATTTCCACCCTCCTCCCTAACATCCATTGTTTTGTAATTAATATTAGTGCACATTTGGACCCAAAAGCATATTGTTACCCATTTTTAGGCTGTTGGAAGAGGGGTTGAATTTTGTTCCGGTTGTGGAATCCTGCAGTTTTCTTATTTCTTGATTCATTTTTCTAATTCATTCTTCAATGTACTTGGACAGATCTTGTCTCTTTTATGTAATAAAAGTGGTTGAAGTTAACTTATTGTCTCAAAAGAAGAAAAAAAACTAGGGAAATTCTTGCTCCATTGGTCCTATTTTAAGGTCCCATATGATGTTCGTTATATTTTGTTAGTTAGTCCATGCTATGTTAACTTTTATTTGATCTAATAGTAGTGTAAAAATAGCACGGGCTAGCCAGTTTTCGGATTGGTCATTCAAAAATAGCCAGCATTTGCAAAGTTATTGAAAAATAGCCACTATTTTGCTGCAACTTGTAAGTTCCAGCATAATATACTGGAGATCGGTGCACCTGTGTATGAACTTTCAGCGTATTATGCTGGAACTCCAACATGCGAAAAGTTCCAGCATAATATACTGGAGTATTTTTTCGGATTTTGAACAGTGTTTTCGTTCAGATTTATCTTTACATGAAAAATGGTTAAATTTCGATTACTTTTGAAATTATGGCTATTTTTTAATGACCACTTGTAAATCTGACTATTTTTGAATTTCTCCCATTAGTAGTTCTCTTCTAGTCTTCTACCGTTCGAGCTTACAAAGAAGGATTTTCCTGATCATCACGCGGTATAACCTAGTCAGTCACAGTAGCTTCTCTTCCTTATCCAATCCTTTTGTGATGACTGTTGGATTTGACATTTTCAAGTTCAAATTGGACTTTCTGTATGGCCCAATATGTTTTGATATCGCTCGTGATTTGCGACCGTACCTTATATTTGTGTCACCTTTTAACCTGTATCATATTTTTAAAAATTATTAATTTGGTAGCCAGTTGACAAAAAATCCGTAATAATATGACAATTACACCCCTGATAAATTGCGTGATCTCCAACCTCATTCATAAAATGCATGCTGAAGTTGTTTTACATTGAAGCATTAGCATTTGCATGCTACTTTGGAGATGACCTCATTCGCATTAGCATACTGTAAAACAACCCCTGATAAACGTAGCAGCATGCTAACGTTTGGAGATGGCGTTGTTTTACAGTATCAGGGGTTATTCATTAGCATGCGAGATGGTGTAAAACTTCAGCCAATTATAGTAGCAGCTGAAGTTGTTTTACATTGAAGCTAAAACTTCATGCTAATGCAAGCTGAAGTTATTTATCCTGCAGTCTACAGTTTTGTCATGAGTTTTATTCGAAACTTCAGTCTAAACATGATGAAGTTATTTAGTTCATTTGCTAAAACTTCAGTTTAAACATGCTGAAGTTATTTAGTTCATTTGCGAAAACTTCAGACCAAACATGCTTAAGTTTTTGTCTTGCAGTATGTAATTTTCTAATGAGTTTTTGCTAATGCATGATGAAGTTTTATTTAGTTCATTTGCTAAAACTTCAGACTAAACATGCTTAAGTTATTTAGTTCATTTGCTAAAACTTCAAACTAAACATCCTTAAGTTATTTAGTTTATTTGCTAAAACTTCATGCCAAAACATGCTGAAGTTTTGTCCTGCAGTCTACAGTTTTGTCAATAGTCCTGAAGGGCAAAATCGTCTTTTTAAAATGCTTTTATCAAAAAAATGGGTACGGATGTAAAGTGAAAAACAAAACGGGTATACGTTAAAAGAGGGCGACCAAATAGGGCGCCCCGCACAATTTTTACCATTTCTAATAGGTTGTATTCTATATAAATTCCTTTTTCGGAAACTTTTATAAATTACTTATGGATTCTTAAAATATTTCAATATCTATAACTTGTAATAAAATAATATATTCTACATCTTATACATGATAAATATATAAAATATGTACCATAAAATACATTAGGTTACCACTATAGATAATATTAAGTAGCTTGTCAAGTTACTCAAAAACCATACTATATATATATATATATATATATATATATATATATATATATATATATATATATATATATATATATTTAGATAGATAGATAGATGTGATATATAAGGTATCTCATAATATAATGTATACATTATACCATAATATAGTAGCATATACATTTATAAAGATATATTAGGGATATGAACAATGGTATATAATTTTTTATAAAGAATTAAAATTTTAAAATAAATTGTATTTATGTAATATTTTGAAAATAGTTGTAATTTTTTTAAATTACTTATAAAAAGGTTTGTATTCTGTATAAATTCCTCGATTTAATAATGGTAAACTCATTAAGATTGCAAAGGCGTCCTATTTGGTTCCCCCATTTAATATGTACCCACTTTTTAAATTTTCTTTAATTTGTACCCACTATTTAAATAACTTCAGGCCTTTTTCTCCTCCTCCTCCTCCTTCTGCTTCTTCTTCGGGTAACATGAGTGATAAGATATGGTGTTTGTGAACATATTTTAAGATAGTTTATGATGTTTTACAATGATGAGTTGTTGTGGCGCTTTATTTTTTTTTATTATTATTTAGGGCTTCTTCATTTTCTTTTTCTTAATAGCAAGATAGGTTCGTTAGATTTATTGTTGTGTTGACAAATTGATTATTGGGGTTTGTTCTTGATGATATTTAGAGGATATGTATCAAATTTGAGCTCATTTGGAGTATATTTAGGTATTAAATCATATATTGGATTGTTAAAATTCGAAGAACAAATTTCTGTTTCTGGGCAATTTGCACTTCAGTCCTATTTGACCTTAAGTGCATGAAAATGTTGGTTGCACTTCAGACCTTTTGACCTTAAGTGCATCTGAAGTGCAATTATTCACTTCAGACTTATTTGCCTTAAGTGTAGGAAAACATTGTTGCACTTCAGACCTTTTGATCTTAATTAAGTGCATTTGAAGTGCAATTTTCCACTTCAGACTTATTGGCCTTAAGTGCATGAAACCATTGGTCGCACTTCAGAGACCTATTTGGCCTTAAGTGCATCTGAAGTGTAATTTTTTCACTTCAAACTTATTGGCCTTAAGTGTAGGAAAACGTTTGTTGCACTTCAAACCTTTTGACCTTAAGTGAATCTGAAGTGCAATTTTTCACTTCAGACTTATTAACCTTAAGTGCATGAAACCATTGGTTGCACTTTAGACCTATTTGGCCTTAAGTGCGTCTGAAGTGCAATTTTTTTACTTCAGACTAATTTTTTTTTTTAAAATTCAGACCCGACAAATCTGAAGTTGATCGTAAAGTGGGTAGACTTGCAAAAAATTTTGTACAATAGGTATAGGTTCAATTGCGACCCCAAAACCGAATATAGATGCAAAATTCCCACTCATTCAACAGTCGAATAGTCCACGATTCAACTCAGCCAGCCTAAACAAATTTGATCAGGCCCAAATAATGTTCTTTTGAAACTTAAGTCCAACGTTTGGTGCAAAATCAAATGCTAAGTTCAAAAAAATTGATACACTTAACAGCAATCTTTAAGCTAACATACACACACCTTTACTATTTCAGCGGGTATTTATTACTTTTCACCAATACAGATATCGACTATTCAATTTTGTTCATTAAGACTTAGACAAATAAGAAGAAAAATCACCTACTAGTATTTTTTTTGTCTATGATGAGATTTAAATATTAATTTTTAAACTTTACACTTACTTCATTGATCTCTAGACTACATCTTTGAGCATAATTACTATACCCAAAATTAGAGAGAGCATGTCACCATGGGACCTCAAATAGAACATATATACTTGATTTTGTCTGAGCTATCAAAGCACAGTTAGGCAACTAATAGTCTGAGATGAACTCACTCTACTAAAGATCTTGTATGCAGTGGTATTATCATACTTTATTTTATTTCAAATATTTGGAAAATAATGAACATTGCCGAGATAAATAGATATAAGTCAGAAGTGCAATTTTTAATGTTAAAAAAAGAACAAAGAAAAACTTGTGCAGTAAACGTAGTTTTGAAGAAACTGAGATATTATTAATGTAGGGATCTCTGTTGTCTGCGTGGGAGGGAGCAGAAAGCGCTAGGAGTAGGAGGTTTCATTTCAGATAGAGTTACTCGTAAAAGGACAGAATCTTAATGATGATTATATTCTGCTACAATTACTGTTAGGAAAACTACAGCAGTAGCAGTCCTAGTAAATGATTAGACAGCAAACCATTTATTGCAAAATTTACAATTTCCATTTAAAGCCAATCACTGCTACTGTCACTCCTCTGCAAATACGAAATACAACAGCTTAAGCAATCAGTTCAGTTCCCTCGGCTTTCTAAAAAGAATATTTACCTGAATTTGGATTGAGAAAAAAAAAACAGATCTTTAAGGACAGAGAAGTATCAAAAGGTGCTGTACTTGTATCAATAGTTTGACTAAGACACTAAAAAAATATAGTACTTCCTCCGTTTCAATGTTATATTGTTCGCTCACGGCTTGAAAACGCTGTCACTAGAGTCTAAGACTTGTCTAATTATATATTTAACACCTCTCACGTATTTTATCGATGTGAAATTTGCCTAGGGTGTCACATTCAATTTATATAAATTTATTTATCTTTAGTCCGTGCCAAAAAAATGATTTCTTTTCATATTTTGAAAATAACTTATCTTTATGGAATGATATATAGCCCCATAAAATATATGTACCTCGGATTACACCACAAATTCAAAAGTTTTAATTTTTTTTTCTTAAACTTCGTGTGCAGTCACATAAGTTCACATAGAATGAAACAGAGGGAGTATAAATTTTAAATATGTTAATATTATTTGTGTGTGGTTATAAAGCATTGTAATTTTAAATTTATCATATATTTATGTGATTATAAGAATTTCTCGTGAAGAATATTATGAACAAAATATAAAAAAAGTAAAGCTAAATTAATTTTACACATAAAAATATTTATTTTATTTTACATAAAAAAAATTGTATCACATAAATGAAAACATAGGGAGCAGCAGCCTCCTAGACTGTAACCAAGATTTAAATCTAGGGTGGGGGGCGGATTTGGTGAGCATAGGCGTGAACTGAAATGATTGTCTTGTCAAAACCGTCATAAAGATGATACTAATATACATACATTTTAAATGTTATATACAAAAATTATATAATTTTATATTTTTTTTTGTTACCAAACATAAATAATTTTTGAT